AATTTATTATGTATATTGAATTAAAAACTAATCCTTATGATAGGTGTTCCTAGTAATAATGCATATTAAAATAAGTGTTCATGATTAACAAAACAAAACAAAATAACCACCTCTGAGACAGAGAAAATGAGCATTATTACCAATCTGTTCCAGAATATTGTGCTCCTCGGACAGTGCCTTCATATGTCCTCTGAAGTGCATAGATGGTAGGCTTGGGGAAAAAGGACTTAAAGATTAAACATTATCCAAAAGATTAAGCAAAAGAACATTTTACTTCACATTCTCAATTTGCAAAATTAAACATTGCTGAGACTTGGGAGTAAGAAAAACCCAAAACCTTCCCTCTACTTTTCCTAACTTGAATCTTGATTTTCCATTTTTATCATACTTTGGAACTTTAAAAAAGTTATTCATTATCAAACTCAAGTATCAAAATTTTTACAGATTCCCTGTGTGTCATGGCTAGTTGTTCTGAGGGTATAATTTATGGTATGGCCAGGCCTTCGATTTTAAAGGACCAGCTAAGAAGTAGCCATATAACACAAAATAGTCTAAAAATTGGTCTTCTAGTAACCCATTTCCTCCCAAGTATTGACATATTTATTTGTCATATTCCCCCTAGCTTTAAATAATTTGAGGGGTCAAATTTGATGGTTTTATGACAGTTTTGGTGTTTGTAATTAATATGTCATGAGTTTTGTTAAGCATTATATTTGGAGTTTTGGATACTCTGCAGCTCACTTATAAATTCTTAGTAAAGTAGATGTACAGCAGTTAGCAAAATTAGGTTTACAGTTGTGAGTATGCATATCACAGAGTTTATTTTTACATTATTCTTTATTTATTATTGTATTATTTTTATTAGTAGTAACCTACTCTTGCCCACCCCTGTTTAAATCTAAATCTACCTGAGCCACTCTTTGGCAAATGGGTACCTTGGAAAGCATCCACGTAACTGCTCTCTCTCCTTTACCCCAACTCCAAAAGCGTGAAAGAGCATACAGACCTTTCCTCTAGAGAGTTAGAAGGTCGGACTGCGCCGGGCACGTTGCAGAGTATGGCTCATCTTTAAATCCTGTGTAAGCATGTTCCTCATTTTTAAGGAGCTGCTGCAGAGCACACACCTTCCCTGTTCTTTCCCTCCAACATGTGCACACGCTTTCTCTTTCCTCAATTTTCCCGAAACTCGGTACTTTCTGTTCCTCTCCCGTTCAGTTTCTAGGGTCCTCCTTTCTTCTGTTTCTTTCCGGCTAGCTGTCTTCCTCAGTTTTCCCTGTGTACAGCACTTTGGCATTCTTTGGGCCTCTCTTGCTCCCTGTCACTCTCAGGTCAGCAGAGGTCTCAGGGATAGCCTCGCAGACAGAAGTATTTTCTCTAAGGCCTTAGAGGACTGAGGCTTGCCAACCTGGACATACCCCACTTAGTGCAGTAGAGGAGGCGACGCTTCCTGAGTGAGCATTGTCAAGTGTCGTTACAGTATAGCCCCTACGGATGTGCTCCAACGGTAACTCAATTAATATGCAGTTGAAGGTCTGTTCAGTGACATCTTCATTGTCTCTGCAGACTTGGTAATTGTCCTAATGGTGAGGGTGGCTAGGCCTGAACCATGACCCCAGTGCATCTCATGCAGAGTCTCTCAAGCTGCCTTTTTAAAAACCATTTGAATAATCCCATAGTTATTTATACTTTGAAAAACAATCATACATGTTGCTAGTAATCAAAAGACCTTCCAAAGGAAATGGACTACTCAGATCAGAAAACATCATAGCAGAGTAGATCCATACCTACATGGTCAATTGATTTTTACCAAATCATTTAGAAACAACTATGTCCATATCTTTAAAAAATAAACCTTACCTCTTATGTCACTGTAGACAGGATTGACTTGAGATGGATCACAGACCTAAATGTAAAATCTATAACTATAAGACTTCTAGAAGAAAATATAATATTTTTATGGACTGGAGATAGGCAAAAGTTTATTAGCCAGCATATAGAAAGCAAAAACCATAAAGGGAAAACTTGATATATTTGACTTCATGAAAATTTAAAGCTTGATAGTCAAAATAGAAATAAGCCACCAACTAGCAGAAATATTTTTAATAAATATATTTGACTATATTAGTTTTTTTATTGCTGAGTAACAAATCCAAAGCTTAGTGGCTTATTGCTGAGTAACAAATCCAAAGCAATAATCACTTCTTGTCTCTTGCGCGTTCTGTGAATAGGAATTTGGGGGGAATTTGGTGAGATGGTTCTGGCTCAGGCTTCTTCATGAGGCTGCAGTGGAATGTTGGCTGGGACTTCAGTCATCTAGCCCGTCTGGGAGTGCACGGCTCATTTCTAAGTTACAAACCCAAAATAACTGAAAGCAGAGAGTCAAACATGAATGTGCATTGAAGCTCTAGGTAGAAACACGCCAAATAGCCTTCGTTGGATGAACGGGTAAACAAATGTGGTACGTGTACAATGGAATATTATTTGGCAATAAAAAGGAATACTGACTGATGCTACAATATGGATGAACCTTCAAAATATGATATTTGAAAGAAGCCACACCATCTTGTACAGTTAAAATGGTAAATTTTATCACAATCAAAAATAAACCTCCAAAGGAAAAAAGAAGGAAAGAAAAAGAAAACTGTTCTGGATTAATGGATATTAAAGAGCCATGACAACTAAATGCCATTTATGATTGTGTATTACATCCTGGACTGGGGGGGAAATAGCCATAAAGGAAATTATTGGGAGAGATGACTGAGTTTGAAAGTAGACTGTGGATTATATAATAGTATGTATTAATATTAAGTATCCTGGTTTTATTAAATTTATACTGCGATATGTAAGAGAATGTCTTTGTAGGAAATATATACTGAAGCATTTAAGTGTAAAATGTAAAATATCTTCTACTTTCAAAATAGTGCAAAAGAAAATATGTATCTATATAAAGTGATAAAACAAATAGGGTAATGGGTAAGCTATGGGGGAATCTGAGTAAAAAGCATACAAGAGTTCCTACATGGATCTTTCCACTTTCCTGAGTTGAAATTATATCAAAATTAAAAGTTACTGATGAAACTAGATTTGTCTTTTTGTTGTCTTCTAAGTAGCATTGTCCAGATGATTATTTGAAAAATAATGTTAGATATGCTTCTTTGGCTTAGCTGCCTCTGTCCTTAGATTTTTGTCTGTTTCTCACCTTCTGGATCCCAGTATATTATTTATTTTTATTTACTTATAGCTTTCTCTCCTTAAGATTATTACATAATTAATATGAAGTACTCAGCTTCTGTACCCATTTATTGTTCTGGCTAGTAATGGTATACCTTTGGAAACCGATTCTCGTTTTGCATATTTTTTTTTATTCACATGCTTTACTTTTGCCTTATCTTGGATATTGTAAAAAAATGTAACTATTTGCTTCTTTTATTTTGAGAAATTAAAATACTTCCTTCCCAGTGAAAGGCTTTGCCGCTCCTGTTTTCATCCAACTGTGTTTTTTTACCTGAAATTTGTGTTTAATCTCTTTGTAGAAGATCCAGTGTGGTATGAGATCTAATCTTAATTTGAACTTATCAGGCTCTGTGTTCATCTTTTTTGTTGGCTCAACGAAGTAATCTCTAAATGCTGTCAAGAGAAGCCCTTTCCTAAGTAGGATCTGCCATCAAAACCTGGTACCGCTTGTTGACATTCAGCTGTGGGTTTTGACCTGTCCGTGGTTACTGTTTCATATGAGCAAACAAATATTCAGTAAAGGCTGTCGGGGGGTTGCCTAGAAGATCATGGTAATTCACTTGGTACTTGTGTTTTCCGTTGGTTAACTGGTTTTCTTTCCTTTGTGGTGTATGATGGGATCTTCACTAGACAGAGGTAACCTATGGGAGAGTGTCCTGGATGCCGGTGTGGTGCTTGTCGGTTTAGCTTCCGTGAGATTTCCCCCGGGTTATGTTTGCAGGGCTGCCTATTATTTTGCGCTTGCATGACATTATTACTTCGATCGCGCTTTGTTGCTTTGGTTCTTGAAACCTCATATTTCTTTTTTTGGTACCCAGAATAATTCCTTGAATATCTTTGGTTGGCCCAGAACTTACGATTCTAACACTTTGGTGGATCCTTTTCAGTTTTTGAAAATATCTTCAATGTCACCACTATGTTTATAATTCGGCTAGGAATTCAGAAAACAGGGTAGGTTTGCTTAAACACCCAGAAGAGACCACTTGCCACTCACCATCACTGAAGCTGATGATTTAACTCTCTTTGGGAACTGTATAGATTAAAGAAAAGGAGTTTATACTTAGAGTAACAGCTGAGTTTTAGGAGAGTTTCATCAAATAACTGAAATTTAGGAGCGTCCACCAAGATAACAGTAAATATAATGAAATAAAACTATGTCTGAAGCTTGGTGTGCGTGTCTGATTGGTCATTATATTTTAGAGACGCTGTTTGCTCTGCAAGCTCGTTTACATTCCAAAACTGAGATTGTTGGGGATCATAAGGAAAAATTAAAATTAGTATTTCAGAAATTAGTTTTCTGAGCATTTGTGTGGGCCTTGGAAATAGTGGTTTACCCCTTCGTTTCTAATCACTAGTAGTATAGTTTTCTTGGTCAATTGGAACTGACTTCATTTTAATTTATTTGTTTTTATTTTTTTCTACCTTATATACTTCTGTAGAAGAAGATAGATTGTTTTAAAAACTAAGAAACAAAACTAGCCCTGAATCAGGTCTGTATATGTTAAATGGAAGGAGTTAATAAAATTGAAATTATTTTCCATTGTTCATATTAAGCCAGTGTTGAAACAAAATTGTATTTTTTTTCTTATAATATTAATCATCTTGAAAACTGTAAAGGATCCATTAATTTGGAATGGCCATCAGAGAAATGCTTATGATAAATACCATAAAGCTGTCAGATAAATGGTGATCCGTCTTTAACTATTTATGTTCTCATTCAGCTGTATTTTCTTTTTATCTTTTGGTGGGACCCATATATTTAATAGAAAATTGCCCAGGAACGAGAAAAGTTTGCTGATGAAGGCAGTATATTTTACACCCTTGGAGAATGTGGACTCATATCCTTTTCAGACTACATTTTCCTTACAACTGTTCTTTCTAGTAAGTATAAACTTATCTTTCTTTTTCTTTTCTTTTTTGCTTTTTTTTTTCCCCCTGTTTGTTTATGGGGAGTATACAGGACTATAAAAGAAGTTAAGTTGATTGGAGGAGGAAGCAAGGCATGTTCATAGAGTTGATTGGTTATGTTACATAAAATTTCATTTATCTTGAATTCTCTATTACTCGTGTATAGAACCACTTGAGAAAGAAGAAAATGAACGTATCCAGGTAAAGTTAAAAAAAAAAAAAGGCAACTATGAAGCTACATCTACCTTTAACTATCTGAAGTTCTATTCTGTTGAGATAAATTATGTATTGCCTGCTCCTGAATAGCCTTCGTTAATGTTTCAGCTTCCCCAGTAAAACACATATTGATCTATTATTTCTCCCACTAAAGATGAAAATTGGTTCAGTTGTTCTAATTGTGTTTAATATTCATTTTTGAATCTTGGAGGATTACTATGTAAGACACAAAACTCAAATTTGACTCATTTAGAGCACTGATGAATTTCTGATTTTTTTAAGCTAAACAATTTTGTTGATTAGTATGCTAATCTAAGTATTTCTTAATTTTATACCCCTTTAGTGTGATTTTTTTTAACTATTGAGAAAAACAAAACAAAATGTATATTTCTAGAACTCTGTGCACACTCTAATAAAATCTGCCTAAAATTGAAATTATTTCCCAATGTTCATATTAAGCCGGTATTGAAACAAACAAACAAACAAACCTAAATAGAACCAAAGAGATCTGGTTTGTGTGTTTGAAAGAGATGATCCCCAGTTTTTTGCCTCTGGGACATATCAAACAAAAATAACCATCTCTTCTAAGCTCGTCATCTATAAAGATAAAACTGTAAGACAGTTTTTAATAAATGGTGTATATGACTCAAGTCATGGCTGTGACCATTTTCACCCTTCTTCCCTCCGATTGACAGGAAAGTGAAGGAATGCAGGCTAGGATGCCTCACCACACCTGCCTGTGGGGTACCAAAGTGTCCAAATGAATTCATGTGGGAGACCAGGGCTCTAGTGGTGTAAATGTACATTGATTTGTTACGAAGACCCAAAATAGTAAACTAATTAAAAGCACACACATGCTCTTAAATTGCGTAGTGTTAGTTATGATTTTAAGGGCATGGGTTTTCAAAGCAGGCTTCAGTTCAGATCCTGGCTTCACCACTTCTTAGCTTTGTGATTTGGGGGCAAGTCAGTGAACTTGTTCATCTGTTTTGTCTGTAAAATGAAGAAGGCAGTAATACCAAACCCAAATTATTTATTTGAGGATTATGAGATCATGAATATAAATAGTACCTAGTTCAGTGCATAGTATTTAGTATGTATGCAATCTGTCTGAATTTTTTTTTCATTTTTGCGATGGTGGAGGTTATTCTTGATATCCTGTCACAACATGTTATTTTATATCTATTTTTATTTTATTCCTTTTTTATTGAATTTATTGGGATGACACTGGTTAACAAAATTATACAGGTTTCAGATGCACAATTCTATAACACATCATCTGTGCACTGTATTGTGTGTTCACCCCAAGTCAAGTCTCCTTCCATAACCATTTATCCCCCCTGTACCCTCCTCCACCTCCCGACACCCCTCCCCCAGGTAATCACCACCCTGTTGTTTGTGTCCATGAGTATTTTCTCTCTTTTTTTCTTTTTTGTTCAATCCCTCCAACTCCCCCCAAACTCCTCCCTGAACAGCTATCTATGAATCTGTCTCTGTTTTGCTTATTAGTTCATTTTGTTCATTAGATTCCACATATGAGTGAAATCATGTGGTACTTGCCTTTCTCTGACTGGCTTTTTTTCACTTAGCATAATGCTCTCCAGGTCCATCCCTGCTGTTGCAAAGGGTAAGATTTCCTTCTTTATGGCTGAGCAATGTTCCATTGTGTAAATGTATCACGGCTTTAAAAGATTTATAAATCTTGTCATTAAAAAAACCTAGCAGAGCCCTGGGTGGTGTAGCTCAATTGGTTGGAGCATTGTCTCATACACCAAAAGGTCAAAGGTTCAATTCCTGGTCAGGGCACATACCCAGGTTTCGGGCTCAATTCAATCAATTTTTCACTCTCACATCGACGTTTCACTGTCCCTCCCTCTCCCTTCCTCTCTTTCTAAAATCAATAAAAGTATGTCCTCAGGTGAGGATTAAAAAAAACCTAGCAGAATTGGTGGGGATTTTTAAAACATTTTTTGTGACTTAAGACAGAATTTACATTAAATAGACGTGATGTGGTAGAAAGCATACTACATTAAATGAAGAGACTAACTTGGAGAACTTGATGTGTAATACGTGCTACGGAACTAGTCCTTGTAAAGGTTTGTTGTGCTGAAATGAGATTTTAACTTGTATCCACTGCTTAGTTCTATTACCTTTATATCGTTCTAAAGTGTCAGAAGGATCACAAAGCAGAACCTTTAGAAAACCTGGTACGTTTTGTATCTCCCTTAATTCAACATTTAAAAGCTGATTAAAAAAAAAAAAAAGTCACATTGACCTTGAGTTTTGGACACCTTACTTTCTGGTTTTTAGCTCCTGGCTTAAACATGGTGAGTGACTTATAAAAAGTGCTGAGTATTATGATGTCGTGTACTTTCTGTTTTTGTCAGGGATGAGAAAATATAATAAGGATATGATTTTAAGATTTTCTTTTATCACCAGTTTTAAGCATTTTAATTATATGCCTTTAGTGTTTCTCAACGTTAGCACCGTTGATGTTTTGGGCAGGATGATTCATTGTTGTGAGAACTGTCGTGTATATTGTAGCATGTTGAGCAACATTCCTGACCTGTCCCCACTAGATGCCAGTAGCACACCCTCTCCCTTCTCCCGGGTGTGACAACCAAAATGTCTTCAGGATTTGCCAAATGAGCCCCAGGGGGTGGAGGTAGGAGGAATGATCCCTTGTAGAAAACAACTGATGTAGTTTTTGGCAGGTTGGGGGGTTTTTTGTTTTGTTTTTTACTATGTGCCTTGTCGTGTTCTTCATGTTTCTTGTCTTGAAGTTATTTGAACTTTTGGAATCCATTGGTTTATAATTTCCATCTAATTTGTAAAAATTTCAGCCATTATGTCTTCAAATACTTCTTTGCTTTTCCTTCCTCTCCTTTGGGGACTCGAAGCACACATATATTTTCCTCACATCAACCCCAGAATGTTTATACTATTGTTGCCTTCATTTTACAGATGAGGAAATTGGGACATACAGAGGTTTCTACAGATAAAGAACTTGCCCTGAGTCCCACAGTTAGGTGATGCAGGGTTTGAACCCAGACCGACCACAGCATCCAGGCTCCTATTGCTTGGTTTTACTGCTGTGGTCACATTTTCATCACTCATTAGCCATAACTTAGCATAGTGCCTCTTCTTTGTCTAAGGCTGGACTGTGGAGAGGCAAGGCATTAACTCTTCTGTAGATAATGGGCACACTGAATATTGTGAACTGCATTGTCCACTTTCTCTAACAAGCCCTGCGGGGGGGGGAGGATGTGCCGCCAAAACTGCATGGAGATCAATTCTTTCCCATGTCCAAATTGCTGCTAGGATGGTAGGAAATGAAGCCCTCAGTGGCTCAACTTCCTTGTGGATAACAAGGGATCATTACAGTCTAGATGCACTAAATGGTTTCCAGGTCACCCTGCAAGAGAGAATGCAATTATTTAAACACCTAAAGCTTTACTAAGGAGTGGCTTGGGTCTAGGGAAGGTGCATTGATGTATTCAATAATCTGTTACCATGGTGGAGAGAGAGAGAAACATTGATGTGAGAAAGAAACATTGACCAGTTGCCTCCCTCACACACCCATCTGGGGATCAAACCCATAACCTGGGTATGTGCCCTGACCAGGAATCGAACCTGCCACCTTTTGGTGTACAGGATGGCACTCTAACAACTGAGCCACACCAGCCAGGGCAGGACTGTCATATTTCTGATTAGCTGTTTTTTCCAAAATTAATGGACTCAATGTTCAAGAAATTGCCATCGTATTGAAGAATGTGAACACTCTGCCCAAATGGATTGACATTTGGAAACTCATAGTACTTTCAAAACTATACTATGTTGTCTAAAGTAAAATTTGACAACTGCATATAGTATATCTTTAAATTTCTTTCTTGATTTATAATTACCTCTCCAAAAAATAAAATTAACAAAGCTGCTTTTCTAAAACATATTATGTAACATAATTACCCCCATTAAAAAGAGTTAATTCTTCTCATTTACACTTTTTAGAAGTTTGATTTTTAGTTAAACAAAAGTTTCTTGGACATACACCAAGAAAAACAATCAACTTGGCATCACTATCTTATGCTTAAAATAAATAAGCAGTGAGTGGCATATCAGGTCACTCTTCTCTGTGTGCTCTGGATAACTGGAGCCTTCTTTGAACCTAAAGTTTTAAACACACACACACACACACACACACACACACACACACACACACTTATACATACATACCTCCTAAAGCCCTTTCCTGCTTTGTTTTTTCTCCTTGGCAATTATACTGTTTAACATTCTGCATCATTGATTGATTGACCGTGTTTACTACCTAGAATGTAAACTGCATGACAGTGATCACAGGTTTGTAATGATAGGCACTACTAACATATCTGGTGTATGTAAAATATTGTGGCAAGGGAACAAAGCAAGAATATAACTTTTTTTCAATTTTCTCCAGAAGGAATTTTAGCAAACATAAGACTTGATTTTGCTCCTTATATCCCAAATTGAGAACAGTTCTTATAGCTTTTTTTTTTTAATCCTCACCCGAGGATATTTTTTCCATTGTTGTTCAGAGAGAGAGAGGGAGAGAGAGAAACATGATGTGAGAGAGACACATTGATTGGCTGCCTCCTGCACGCGCCTCAACTGGGGCCGGGGATCGAGCCTGCAGCCAAGGTGCGTCCTTCAGTCTGAAGGCCGACGCTCTAACCACTGAGCAAACCAGCCAGGGCTCCTTGTAGCTTTGATGTCTTCAATCT